GTTCGATCAGAAAGTGAATCTAGTTGGTACTTATGGGGTTCAAAAGTAAAAAATTCTTTAAGTATTTTTCTAAATATAGGGATAAATAAACTAAAAATTAAGGGAAAACGGGAAAATTTACGCACAATCAATTTTCGACAAAATCAATTTTGGTTTTTGATGTAACTTTAAGACATAAAATTTTCACCATATGTTTATATAAATATATTCTATCCTCCATGCAATTTTCAAAAATGTTCGACTTAAGTTGAACTATTCATAGGCATTTATAATTTTCGATCATTATTAGTTTTTTTTTAAATTCGATAAAAATTTATTTCTATAAGCATTTAAAGTTTGAATTTGGACAAAATACGTAAAAATCACGAAAATTCGCAAATTATTTTAAGCTAGAAATTCATGAAAAATTTTCTTTTTAAATCTAAAATTTGAAAATTTAATACAAAATTCCTTACAAGTTTATCAATCTTTGAATCTTAATCACAAAAGAAATGTCCACCAGAAATTCAAATTAAGTTTTTATGAGCGTTTGAAATTTAAATTTTTAAAACATTGGATTTTCACTAGATATCTTTTAGCGATTTTCTTATTTTGGTGTAACTCTAAAACAAATGACCGCAGATACTTGAAATTTTCACTAAATATTTATACAGGCATTTTCTATATTTGATAAAATTTTCAAGATATTTTGATTTGTTTTGAGCTGTTCACTGACATTTTAATTTTTCAACTTTTTTAGTTTTTTTTTTTTTATAAATATAATATCATTGGATTCAAATTTAATTCCATGCATTACAGTAACCCACTTTTAACCTACTGTACAGCAGAGCGAAATCCACGACTGACTCCTTTTAAAAAAAAAATATGGTCACCCTACATTAGGACAACTGATATACTCGTTAAAGTGTACAATCGATGTTTATGAGAGTAACATTTTCCAGTTGGGTGGAAACGGACCAGATGACTTCTACTTTGCACGAGGAATCGGACAAGTCCGTCACTAGCCTCTCTAGCTTTTAACCTATCTGCATGTTAGACACCGTTGGTAAGTTATTAGAGAGYTAGGGTTCTCTTATGAATAAGGCTTATATAAAGAGAACCTCGCGAMAACACGGGTGAACTGATTATACTAATCAGATTAGTTTTCGGAGGGATTGTTCCACTGTTGACGCTATCAATATGGTTCTTTATTTGGCAAAGTGGACCAACCACAAAATTGACGACCCAGATTGGGAGTTGACTCGAAGGAGGTGATCCGGAAAACGGAGCGTGACATCCTACTTGCTGCCCGGTCCAATAGGCGGAAACGTGGCAGCTATACGTAGCATGGACGTTTGTATTTGATAATTCTTCTGGACTTGATATAGGATGAGTGATAAGACGACCCAAAGACCTCACGTTTCACGTAACCACAGACTCTTACGGGGAATGGGGGCTTCAGGTATAATCAGACTATATACTATACCTGGGGGATCTATATGATCTATCCCTTTCATCATCCCCTTAATTACGCCACTGTACAGGATCTGCTGTGCGGTCCCAATGATGTCTTGGTTTGTATGAAATCTCTGAGCATACTATGTTGACCTTCTATACGCAATGGTTGAAAATATACTTGGTTGYGAGGAACAAGATGAGARGTTAGCTGAGGCTAAACGCTAAAGTAAGGGCYAAGGGGCAGCCTAATGGTAGCCGCTCCAATAACGACTGAGCAGACTCCGGGCAAAAGTTAAGAGGACACATAGTTGTTAAGTTAAAAGTTAAGA